AAGTTATGGGCTGAATAACAGCGCAACAATATTAAGATAACATTTCCTGATTGTTTGTCAGGCAGGAGGCTCCTTCACCCGGCTTTCATCACGTCCACCGTGTTCATTAAATTGACAATTTGTATTTGCCCTACAGCGGGATAAACAGGAGCTTATCTGATGGGCCTGGTCTTTTATTATTTATTTCATTATCTCTCTCTCTCTCTCTCTCTCTATCTCTCTCTCTCCTCCCCCTCTTTCTCCAGGGATTGAAGGTAAACATAAATCAGCAGCAGCATCTCTGTGGCGCGCCGTTGTTTGTATTGCAGTCATATGCCGCAGCAGCACCTCTCCGAGGAGGCTCGTCGCCGGCGCTCCGCTGACACGCGCGGCCTCTTCGTGGAGGTTTGCGGTCGTCGTTCCGCGTGACACTCTGGCGCTCCACTCCTGCAGGGACCCCCCCCCCCGCCCCCCTTGGCCCCTCTCCCTACAGTTTGCTCAGTGGTTGTTGGCCCGCGCCGCTCGTCTGTGTTCACTCGAATAATAAACCAGCACCACCCGGGCGTCTGATTTGTGCGCCGGCGGACCCATTGACTGCAGCACTTGGGAAAGCATTTCCCCTAAGCGGCGTGAGCGATGATGTCGCCCGCTTCCATCTCTTAGCTGAGGAACAAGCCTGTCGTCGGCCCACATTGTGCAGGCCAATGAAAAATAACCAAGCCGACGTGCTTACTTAGGAAACACTTGCCCCAGAAATGTAATCTTTATCCCATTTTTTAGCAAGCCCCCCCCCCCCACCTCCCCTCTCTAATCAGGTTTCAATTGACTGCCATTGAGGGAAGAGGCCTCTCCTCAAACACATGCGTATGTCCGAAGCCAGTCAGACGCCATTTGAGGCTTACTCAGTCTTCCTCCCAATATCCCGGAGAGCTCAGGGCCAAATGATTTAATCTTCATTCAGCTAATTTAGTCTGGATTTAAGCTGCCGGGTTGTCGAAGTGCAGAGTGATGGAGTCTGAAAACAGGATGAGAGGGAAGGGAGAGGAGGGGAAAATCGGAAGGAGGGAGGAAGGGAAACGGAGCGCGAGAGAAAAAAGGTAGAGCGATGGAGGGAGAAAGAGAGAGACGGGGGAGCGAGGGGGTCGGGTGGGGGGGGTGAAGATGATGATCCATCCTGACCCTAGTGAATGCTGTCATGTTCCTCCCTCTAGGTAATCTCTCTCACTCACTTGCTATTTTGCATGTGAAAATGCTCTCCTGACAGTTGCATATCAGATACATTTTCTCCCCCCCCCACCACTCTCCCTCCTGCCCCCCTCTTCCCCCCCCTCACCAAATAAACAACAGTCTTCACTTTGAAGTTGTCTGTTTGTGTCAGTTCGGCTTGGGGCGAGAGTCGGCCTCTCTCTCCCTTTCTGCCTTTGTGTTGCAGTGTGAGTGTCGGAGGCTTATTTCCGGCCAATAACCCCCCCCCCCCCCCCCCCCTTAAAAAAACCCAGGGAGGGACCATTCAGCCGTCCAAAAAGACCTGGACAATCCACTAAATCCATTAAAAAAACACGACCACCGATCAATGTGTCGCACGGCGGCATTGAAATCAAACTTGCATCCGGTGTGGAGCTCAACGTACACAAATATCAGAACGCTCTTCATCCAAAAATCTCCTCACGCACCATCCAGAACACACAACTACACCTAACGCACACTCTGCAAGATCCCCCTCGACAAGCCCCACCTCCCCACTTGGGGGCGATAGTGAGTTTTTGGTCATGAGTCACGTCCTTTTTTCTTTTTTTTTCCTTCACCCCCACGTCCCCTGTTACGCAGGTACAGTAACTGCTCCTGAGGGAGTTCTATCACAATTAAGGTGAGATGTACAGACAGTGGCTCGGACTGATGACGGCATCCCACCACAGCACAGATATGGTAATCTGTGACGGTGTAGACGCCGCGCCGTGCAGCTTTACCAGGCAAGAGGCCCACCTGGGTCTTTGAATAAATCTGCACCGGGTGTCAATCATGTCACGTTGCCTCGTGATCAGAAGGAAGCGGAGAGGGAGGAGATGGAGGGAAGCGGGAGAGAAAGAGAAGCAGAGATATAATGACTGCAAGAGACCTCGCTCGTGATTATAGTTCATTGCCGACGTGGTCTCTGCTGATCAGAGCTTGACAGTTATATGAAAAAAGCAAATGGTTCATCCTTTTTTTTTTGAAGTGTTTCTATGAATATTCCTGCTCTCGGATTTGTAGCCGTGATCTGTTGGATTTAGGTTTGGTCTCTCTCACGTGTGGTAATTCATCACGGAAAAAAGGAAAAAAGTGCGGAGTTTCAGTCGCGAAAAGCTACGAGCATTCAAAAGGATTAATAATCCGGACATGCATTTAAAGCTCAAACACTTCCTCCTCAGTCAAATGTTAATGTTGTTAATGTGTTTCATTTATCTTGCGATTAGGCTCATATGAATGTAATTAAATTATTGATGTTTGTGTTTTTTTCCGCCTGAGGGGGGCTGTTGTCGAGTTTCTGTTCTCCCACAGAGGTTTTGTGAGCGCACACAGCCAATGATAACGTGCACATGGCAATGCATCTGTTTCCATTAACAACACTTCATCAATATATCAATATATATTTGTTGCTCGTAGCTTTTAGAGCAGAGCCGTCCATTTCTGATTTCCTTTGATTATTTATAAACACCCACAGACCAAATTCTGCCCTAAAAATCTCAGGCTGCGTTGGGTCTAAAATATTGCTGATGTGGCAGCATCTTTGAATTAATTGTGGTTGTTTTGTTGCTTTTTCAAATTCACTTCTCCAAAAGCATTTCAAAATGTCTTGAGATACTTTAAACCAGCAGACTTCTCCTTCTCTCTTATTTCAGCCCGTCTTGCCCATTCTCCCTCCCTCACACACACACACACACACACACACACACACACACGCACACACACACACACACGCATGCAGCAAAGCTCCCAGCCTCTCCTCTCTTTCTCTCTCCACCTCCTACCTTCGGCGTGCTTTGCATGGCGCCTGGCTGTTTAGAGGCAGTATGCATATGTATGGGCGAGACGGTGCATCGTGACGGGATCTGACACGCGGGGACAAGATCAAAGCGCTCCATCTGATCCCATAAAAACCGACGCAAACCCTCCTCTCATCCGTACAAAACCCCCACTGATAGTCCACCGCCAGCCCCGACTCCTCCGTCTCCTCTCCTCTCCCGCCTTACTCCATTCTCCCTCTTGTCGTCCCCCCCCCCCCCTCCGTCCCAGCATGCGGCGTGGCGGCGCCGAGGCCTTCCCGCCTGCCTGACTTTGCGATTACGCCCCGTGATAAACAACGGCCCGTTTAGCTCATAAAGCCGGAGTGTTGTGCATAATGCTTACAATAAAAGATAGCATCTCTTCACTCATCTTATTTACCTCTCCCACGGTGGCACTGTTCTATATAAATGCCACAGGGGAGGCCGGGGGAGGCCGGGGGAGGGGGGGCATGCAGATGCGGACATGCATCTGTTAGTCAAATACAGTCGCTGCCAAGTGAGTTGATGAGATCGGGAGGGAAATGGCTCGGTTTGAATATGCATCCGAGCTTAGAGGCAGGTGATAAAGGCGCCATTTTAAAGCGGCGGCATCCTTCTTGGTGGGTGAGCTTAAAATGTCTTCTGAACTAGCAGGGGACGACATCCACAACACGCTTACATCCCTCTTTATGCAACATATAGATTGATATAGAAGCCAGAACACATTCTCCTCTCTACCAACCCCCCCAACGACACACCGTCTTTAATTCCCCTCCTTTCTCTTTTCCCTCTCTCCCCTCTTGTACCCCCCCTTCTTCCAGTAAGGAAGATGTATGAGTTTGAATTATTGATTCGGACACATGCTACATGCTGCTTGGAGTCATTATTTGTTCAGGTGAGTGTCGTGCTGCTCGCTATGAAACAGATACCACAGGGATTAAGCGACACAATCAGGACTTAAAGACAGCCCCCCCCCCCCCCCCGAAATAACACGGCCCTCACTGCAAGACGAATGCTCCCCAAAACCCGCCTTCATTTGTTTATGACTCGCACATTAGTCATCTGTGTCTAAATTGTAGCGCAGGGGTGAAGATTAATTCGAGCGCGGCTTTGTCTATTGTTTTTACTTACAGCGCGTTGGATGAAGCCTACTAACACAGCAGACGAATAAAGGTGCAAACATCCTACACGTTGAAATATAAATATATATAAAAACAAAACCCGGCTTTTGTTGGGTGGTGGGTGTCGGCATAAAGAGCAGACAGACTTCTGTGCTGCAGAAAGAACAGCACACACATCTAAACAATACTCCCAATGTTGCACTCAATAAAGGCTTTTGACACCATGAGACAAAAGGACACTTGCCACTTGTTATATATACATAGGCTTATGCATTTATTGACAGGACACCAGCCGACCAAATCAGAGCGAGTCTCGTGAGCAGAGGTCAGAACGACGTGCTTGTAGAAAAGCCGAGACGGAGGGAAGCTCTGATGCAGGAGCCCTAAGAGAGAGGCGGGAGGTAAAATGTTGCTAACTGTTCATTTAGCCCTGGCTAAGTGGTCAGGGACGCTGGACAGGTGAACTTTATTCTCCCCACTGGCCCTGCGGGGTGGGGTTGTGTGTGTGTGTGTGTGTGTGTGGACTGTAACAGAATTTCTCCAGTCCTCTGGGCCCTGGTGCAAAGCAGAGAATAAATGGTGGAGGTGGCAGGCCAGGACAGAAAAATCAATGCCTGCTTATACAGACATGACACACCAGCAGCCAACTGCATTGTGTGTGTGTGTGTGTGTGCGTGTGTGTGCGTGTGTGTGTGTGTGTGTGTGTGGGTGTGGGTGTAGATGTACAGCACACAGTCACACGGCCCTGTGTTCTCCTGCTGTGAGTACCCAGCAACCCCCATTTCCTCTCTCACAGGGTAGATTGTCGAGCATTTTACGTCAGCTTTGGGATCAGTAAATAACTCTTTTTTTTCCCCTCCTCCTCCTTCTCCTGCAGGAAGTTTGAGTGCGAGTTGTGCGATCGCTCCTTCAGTGAAAAATGGGCCCTGAACAACCACATGAAACTGCACAGTGGGGAGAAACCATATAAGTGTGCCTGGCCTTCTTGCCACTACGCCTTCCTCAACCTGTCAGCCATGAAGGACCACTACAGGACGCACACAGGTGAGGCGGCGACCCTCCACCATGAGCCGTTACTGCCGCGCTCCTCCACCAACACGCTTTAACGGCAGAATTCATGGGGTTTGCTTTTTACAGGCAAATGGTGTTTTTATGAGTTTGGGACAAAGGGTTATTCAGCAAGACGCGCTATACTTGGATCAGACAAAATGTACTTTTTCATTCTTCTATAGACAAAATGAAGTGTGTGTTAGCTGTGAAAGTCTCACATTAATTATGAATCTTCACAGCTTTGTTTGGGAAAAAAAAACATACACACGTTTTTGGCCGGTAACAGCCTCGACTTGTCCATCTGTACCGGTTTTCAACGTCCTGCGAAAGTGGTAAACTAGTTCTTGGCCATCTTGCAGACACACTTGTTGGGCGGTTAAACCCTTACCTCGTGATCCCAACAGGACCGTCACATTTCATACCACGTTCTATCCGCCAAATATCTTTGAATAGAGACGCTTGTTTGCCAAAGACAGAGGGAATAAGATGTTTGGCTTTCATGTTTGTTTGTGGGTTGTTTTTTTTGCAGTCCTTTCATACTTGGAGGGTTGCTTGATGAGGGAATTAAGGTAGTGCGTGTTCCCCTAATCCAACCGGTTGTCATGTGTGTTTCCCCAAAATCCATCTGGTCGCCAAGCGAGTCTTCCCCAAACCCAGCTGGTCAGCGAGTGTGTGTTCATCAAATCCATCTGATCCTCAAGAGTGTGTTTTCCCACAGCGATGCGCTCGAGGTGTTTGTTCCTCTACGGCGCCAAAGAAAGGAAACATTTAACGCTGGATTAGAGGATAACTCAATGACATAAAAACACGTTAAATTAGCATTTAAATCTGTGTCTATTGGTCATTGTGTACATTTCAGGGATCTTTCTCGCGGGTTGCATCCTTCCTTTTCATCTCTGTGCGTCCATTGCACCGTGCGACTGAGCCGAGTGGTGCTTTTTCTTTTTGTTTTTACTGGCTAAAAGCTTTGGATAGACAGATGGTGCGGTGGGAGGATGCTGTCTTGAATAATCGGCCCTCGATAGGAGCCCGAGTCAGGCTCTCTGAAGGTGTCTTTATGCAGCATCGCAGCAGTTTCCCCCTCGGCCTCAGTAATGTCCCACACACGACTCCTTGATGCCCTTTTAAGTCAATGACAGAAGCAGCAGCAGCCAGTGGCCTGACAGGCTGACTGAGCGCTTGCAGGAGAGCCCTCCATCCGTCACGGGTGCCTGCTGTGCGTGTGTGTGTGTGTGTGTGTGTGTGTGTGTGTGTGTGTGTGTGTGTGTGTGTGTGAGGAGGGAGACTGTGTAGACTTGCTGGATGTTATTCTAAATGTGTTTTAACAGTGATGTAACGTCAAGGCGCCTCTGACATAATTAGGCGTTTTATTTTCATTTGTTTCCAGCCCTCATCATTCCCCATCAGGCGGCTGGCGTCACACTGTCACCTAGCTGTCACCCGGAGAGGCGTAGGGTGGTGGGTGGGTGGGTGGCGCTGTGTGTGTGTGTGTGTGTGCGTGGTTTTGGCAGGAGGAAACACGGACTTGAAGAGAGCGAGTGAAGTGATTGAGATGGAAGCAGGGACATGATGAGATGGGAAAGCTGCAGAGATCAAGGGTGACCCAGTAAGAATGTAGGAAAATAGGAGATTGAACCTGAAACAACCTCATTTTAGTGAGCGACACGACCTGACTTGATTAGCAGCACCCAAAAAAGCAAATACAATTTGCTCGGTTGTGACCCCCAACACTCCTTTGCCAGTGGTAATTGCTGCCGGGTCGGACGGTTAGCTGCAGCTATACAATCATGGCAATCACATTCCAGCAGGAAACCTGACACACTGAAATATTATCTGCATGTGTGTGATCCATTTAAGGGTTATAAATGTGCTCCTTCGCGCCACTAAGATGCAATACTAATAAAACAAGTAGAGGACTTTAAAGTTGACTAATCTTTCCTGGTGAGTTACATTGTGTGTGTGGGGGGGGGGGGGTGATACACACATCCCGCTCTTTTATATGAAACTGTAAAAGTGGGCCTCGGTTGCATTCAGCTAAGACGCGGCGTGGAGAAAACATTTTGGTTTGTAGTGAGGTTGCAAACGGCCCACTTGTAAAAACCAGCCTGTCACACACGTCGTCTTATAACTTGCTAATCGGAGCGTAAACATTTGAAGAAGTGCTACATATTTTACCCCCGTCATGCTATATGTGACGGTGGAAAGCTTGACGAGCGTAGCAACAGTAACTAAGAGGGGCGCGACTTGGCGAATGGCCCGTTCAGCCACGGCGAACCCAAAGGATGCAATAGAATCACGTGGTAACCAAGCAACCAACCAGGAGCAAGGAGTAACATTACAGGTTAACACCTCTGCTCCCCTTCTGCCGCCCCCACCGGGGCTCCTTGTTCCGCTCTGATTTGTGACTTTTCTATGTAAATCACTCCTATTCTCACACACCAGTCCCGTCTGAGGGAGGTGCGGGTGGGTGTGGGGGGGGTCATCAGCCACCAGGGTCATTTGTAACGGCTGATGAATGAGCGACTCCGATAAATAAATAAGTGCACTGACTCTGACCCACCCCGCTTCTCCCAGGCTGTGGTGCGTGGTGGGGGAGTGGGTGGGGGGTGATAGGGGAGGGTGAAACGCTACGACAGGGCCACAATTGATTTCCTCATTGCTTCAGTTTGTCGCTTAATCTGGCGATATGCTGATAAATCTTCGCACTTTGTCAATTAATTTCCCTGAGAAATGAGACCCAAAATGGCGAGCACATCAATACAGCTGCGGATTCCGTGTCAAAAAATTAAGCGTAAAATTAATTGCCCTCCTATCCGCTCCTGCTAAAACATAACTAATGAGGGAGGCAATTATAGCTGCATGCAGACACCTCTGGGGTTATTTCAAACACACACAAACACACGCACACAAATATATATATATACACACATGCAAAGATAGGTTGTATATTTTAACTTCCAAATGATTTCACTGTCTCGCAATAAGGCGCGTTTAAATCAGGGTTGGGGGGTTGAGCTGTATCAAGGGATCAGAAGAGCGATTGTATTGCAAAAGCCAAAAAAGTTTAAGTTTCAGTGCAGACACATTAGCAGGAAATGTCTCATTTTAAGGGCGCTTCTGTAAATGACGCTAGACTTTAGGTGGGGGGGCTGTAAGCTTCTGAAACACGTGAGTGTGACCTGCAGCTGGATTTGTTTGCTCGGAGGTTGGATGTTTAAGTTCAGAGGATATTTACTTCCTTAGTTTAGTTAAGTAGGCTTACGGTTGTATTATTTCCAGATGAACAGGCCGAGGTTCCTGAGTCAGGAATGAACCAAGTCAATGTTGTGTTGATGCTTGCGAGGGGGGGCGACGACAGCGGCACGTCACTCTTCTCCCGCCCCTCCCGGGTCCTCAGAGGCCTCACCGCCACAGAGCAGCAGATGAAAAGCACACACGTAATTTATCGCCAACGTTTCCTCCTCGAGAATAATTGTGGCGACCGCGGCTGGTAGCGGGGATCGATGGCTATGGATTTTTCTGTGGTGGGTCTTGTAGCTTTGGGGCGTAATGAGAGATGGGAGGGAGGGAGGAGGAGGGGGGACGCTGTTTTTCGGATGGGAGGGAAAAGGTCTGACCAGATCCTTAGCGTCTGCCCCTGTGCTCCTCCTTTTTGACGGCGTTTCTGCTTGTCAGCGATCGCCTGTCAATCACCGGGATTGTCCCCGCTGAGGACGTTTATTCAGACCACAGAAAGTTCGCGTGAAACCTCGTTCCTTTAAAGGCCCACAAATGCACCATTTTAAGGCAGTTTTTCCCTCCCCTGTAAGTGGCTCCGCTTAAAGCCCGTCCTCACAGCTGAGTGCCTTTGAACGGGCGTAATAGAGGAAACTGGAGGCTGCTTTGTCTCTGCCGACTCGGTGAAAGCTGACCGAGGCCCAGCTGGGAGAGTCACACAAACGTGCTGCATCCAGCATGCAGATGAATGTTTACGTGATGGGGATCTCAGCTAGCCTGACAATGGGTTTTGTATCTGTACAGTACCAGTCAGAAGTTTGGACACGCTTTCTGAGCGAGAGGGAGGGCGTCATGCTGTTAACGACGGGGCCATATGCAGGGGGGAGAGGAGGAGTGTAAAAAGCCCTCCACGCGCCCCATCTGGAAGGCATCGCCTCCTCAAATGAAGTTGTACAAAACCATCCCATTGATAATAAAGCTAATTTTTATGGCTCTGACAAGTATGTAATTATGTTCAGCGGTGCTTTTCAGATTTTATCACAGTCAATAAACCACACTGGCAATTTCCCGTCCCCCATTTGACATATTTACACGGATCCATCTGATTGGAGGAATTAGTTAGCTGTGAGAGCTCTGATGGATATACACTAGTGATCTGTGACTTCTGCTCGGCTCATCTGTTAGCCAACTACACCCGCTGCTCCTCCGCTCCGGCTGTCTTTTTTTCCTTCCTTTCTTTCTCTCGGTTTCTCCTCCTGTTACACATTTCTCCCGATCCATTAACGCCGCTCTCGTCCCCGCCTTTGTCTTTCTCCGGGGCTCTCGCCGCCTTGCTCAGCGGCTCCTCGGCGGCAGCTGCGAGCTCTGCTCCTTCTCTCCCCGCACTGAAGGATTTCATAAATCTGCTTCAATAACCTTTCTCTTATTACCTCCCCCCGATATCTGAGCCTGTAATTTCACTGTTTAATCGTATTTGCTTTTGATTAATGTTGATGCGGCGCTGAAATTAAAGAGCAATAGTGACAGATTAGTTATACCGAGCCATATTTATTTGAGGCAGATGGAGGGAAAACAACTTAAATACGACAAATGTCATGAATTTTGTTATTTCACATGCTCTCGTAAGGTGACATTTATTTTTATTTTTATTGATGCCGTACTTTTTCAGTGCGTCACAACAATTGATTGAAATGCACATTAAGAGTAATCCATACATAATACATAGTATTTTGTCTTTTAGTTGATTATCCTCCCTAAATATTCAAGGATTTCGTCCTCTTACTCTTTCAGCATTAGAAATACACCGCTTGGTGGCAGGAAAGCGTGATTGGATGGCGTTTTCTCAAAGGTCCTATTAAACGGTAGTTTTTTTTGTCTATCACGCCTCGGGTCTGATTTGTATTTCGGCAGCTGTCATTTCTCTCGTTTCTCACTACGTTGTCGCCAAAGTGATGTTTGACACCTCCGAGCGCGGCAGCGTCTCTCAATCAAAGGCCGACGGGGAAAAGCTGCGCGAGGGGGCGAGACCGTCAGACAGGATGTGAACAAGCCAGCAGTTTAGAGAGATTTATTTGGTGATTTCTTATAGAAAGAGAACACAATTAAGTGAAAGGGTTTTTTTATCAAGCAAACGCAAATGTTGATCACGATCACTCATTCAAAACATGTTCTTACTGCTTTGTTTTGCCTGAAAGAAACATGATTTATTTCAAATAATTCTTGGTCTTTTAATGAGTGTATGACTTGAAATTGTAATAATATTTTGTGTAAATGAGACAACGGTTCATCTTCTCTCCCAGGTTCCTGCTGCCTATCTTTTATTCAGTTTAGTTTCTTTTGCCAATTTGTCTTCCTTTACCCATCCGTATTTCCTTCTCTCAACCTGTCTCCGCAGGAGAGAAGTCTTATCTGTGCGACCTGTGCGGTTTCGCCGGAGGCACAAAACACGCCCTCACCAAACACCGGCGCCAACACACGGGTGAGAACAACACACTCATGTCCACAACTAATTTAAGCACATACACACACTACTGGTGCCGACTTTCCTAATCTCGGGTCGGTGATTGACACTTCAAGATCCGAACAGCCACAGACAATTTTCTTTTACACAGTTTTAGCAACTGTTTGCTGTCTTTTTCTCTCTCACACACACACACACACACACACACACACACACACACACGCACATCAGTGTGACATGCTGCTGTCAGTGATAGGCATGTGTACCAGTGTGGCTGACTGATTCTGAGATTTTTAATTTCAGTTATCATTTCACCATGTCATTCTGTCTGCTTAGGGAAATTGCATTTTTCAGATAGGCTGTCAATAACGACTGCTCTTTTTTGGAAATTGGGAAAGTGAAACAAACGCTGTTTCGCAACCGTTCACTCGCAGGTGCCCAAGGATCAAGAATTCTGTTATAAATATTCATCTGTTTTTTCTTAACGTGTTTTGGTTCCTGCTCATGTCCCTCCCTCTCTCCCTCCCCGTGTGGACACGTGTCAGTTTACATTGATTTAGCCGGATGTTCCGATCCGTCGTCACGCAGCCGCACATGAAGTGTTCTTCCGTCTGACAGAGTTCTAAACTTCACTGCTCATGCCAATAGATTCACGATACCTTGTTTCAGCACTGTTGGGTAGCCCGTCCCTGCCCAGCATGCAGTCAGTCGGTGGCTGATGCTTTTCTGATGCCATTGAAGCTGTATTTGAACAAACACCAGACAGTATGATTTGTCCAGGAGGTTAGCAGCTCCTTAAAGCAGCCTGAGGTTGGGTCGCAGGTTTTAAATAGTGCCGTTCCGTTGGGTTAAATACAACCCTCCCGAAATACAAAATAATTAAAAGTACAAATCTCCCACACAGCGCAACGCTCAGCTATGGACTATTTTCCAACTTGCACCCACCGACATCAGTCCCAACAGTCAATTAATTTGATACCTTGACCCTGTGACCATGACCTTATAATTTGGACGTCTCTGTTTCTGTGAGATTAATGTGTCAAATACAGTAATCCATCATTCAATGATAAAAATCTTCCATCAAAATTGCACTCATTATATTTCATGGAAATGTATTCATGCGTTTTATGCATTCTGCTGCCTGACAGATCAACTTTCTGAGGATTTCTATATTTCAATTAACTTTAAACTAATACTTTAAAACTTCAGCTGGCACCTAAACTACTGTCACTTAAACTATAGACAACGCACACACTTAAACTGTGCTGTACCTCGCACCTCAGCTTCTACTGTGATTTTCATTTCTTTCTCTGTTTACAATTCAACTGACATTTGATTTTACTCTTCAAATGCAGTTCATCTGCTTTCATCTCTTGAACTGTAAGTTGAACTCCGTGTTTGCATACAAGTGGACAAGTGACGGCCTAACCAGCCTTAAACTAAGCAGACAGATCAAAAGGTTTCAGAGATTACACTTCAGCAGATATACAGAAATACCTCTCAGTGCTTCATCTTTACCATACACTTAAATTACTCCCACACAACATGTCAAATGGAAACTAAAAACAGTATTTTATGTGTGTCTGCGGCGTTCAGAGTAAGCATATTTAAATTTATTTCAGAAAATGCCGCTTTTTTTCATAGTTTTACAATAGGTCAAGACCTATTAAAAGCGTTTGTGTCGGCAAAATATGCAAGTTGCTAATAGCATCATGAACAACTGAGGAAGTCCTAAATGATTTACAAAGCCAGCAGAGTGGTACGCCATGGTTGCCGAACCACGTCAGTTGTGTTGCGCTCCATATTCATATATGAAATATGCGTGTTCCTGAAAACCTTCCCTCCATCATGGTCTCATCAGCTGTCTCTCTGTCCTCAGGAGAGAGACCCTTCAAGTGTAAGATCTGCAACTTCGCCTCCACCACGCAGTCCCACCTATCGCGGCACAAGCGTGTCCACACGGGGGAGAAACCGTACCGCTGCCCCTGGTGCGACTACAGGTACCGGCTCATTGACCCGCCTACAGTTGGTGTCCCCGATGGCCGCCAACCGTGGCACTAATGATAAGGGGGTTGATGGGTGGGTGGGAGTAGGAGGGTGTGTGTGGTGTATGTATGTAAGTGAGTGAGTGTGATGGCTTGATAGCAGGTGGCATTCTAAGGTAATTTGGAAGGGTGAGAGGCTTTATGTGTGTGTGTGTGTGTGTGTGTGTGTGTGTGTGTGTGTGTGTGTGTGTGTGTGTGTATATGTATGTGTGAGTGTTGTCCCCACGAGGGTGAGTGGGAGAGGTGGAGGCCAGACCAGTTCTATTCTCCACAACACGGCTCTATCTCATCACTCTCCCATCATCAACAGGCCCAGCTAGATCCCCCCAACGCGCACACACACTCTCCCTCTCTCCCCCCCCCCCCCCACACACACACACACAATATCACTGTCACTGGCAGGTCCCTGTCATTAAAACACCATCATACCAGATCAGTAATTACACAGGAAATTGTCGGTGAAATTGAAAAAGTTTTGGCTGGCGTTGCACATCTCCATCTCTCTCTATCTCGCTCTCTCTCCCTCCCTCGATCTCCCCTGGACCGTCTCTCTATCTCTCTGTCTTCCCCTCTTTCTCTCGTCATGCGCTTCCTCAGCAGGTTGTGGCAGGAGGGTGTGAAAGGGAATGATCTCAAACCCATCATTGGTTTTAGATGTACTGTTCATTTGTTTTTTCCCCTCTGTGACAAAGTCATTTCGGCCGCCTGCTACACCTGCTCCGCTCGCAGCGAAGCACCCGCCTCCCTTCTCCAGTCTTTTGTACGCCGTCCAACTTTGTGAAATGCTGAGACATAATAACTGTAGTCAGGCTATTATCTAGCAATTATCAAAGGATTATCTCACCCTGTACCTGAATGTATCACAAAGTATTTCATCACCATCAATGAAGGAGGTGCATGTGTTTTGTTCGATTTAAGATGCATATAAGACGCTTTGAATATTTCTGGGCCTAAATAATCAGAAATGTCATAGAGTAGCTTAGGTAAACTGCATCTTGTCTTTTTAACATGCATACTCTCAACAACAAGATTTCTGAACAACATTCTGCTCCACTTCTGTTCGATAATCGTCATCATCATGTCAAGAGGTTTCTGCTTGATGACCAAATCCGTGCACAACTAATGGCACTCCTAGTTGAAAATGCTAAATTGCCAAAATAAGACTAAGATTAAAGTAGACGATGTACCCAAACAGCAGCATAGTAGCAGTAGTCATTCCGAGCATGTTTAAGGTGCCCGAGTACGTCCTCGCAGAGCTGCTAGCTTTCCTCTTGCTTCTTATTCTTTTGATTGTATGTGAAAATTTTCTTCTTTTTTTTAAAATTTTATTTTCCCAGAAATCCGTTCGTGCTATGACAGATATTTTGTGCTACTCGGGACTCTGAGCAACCCATTCTACATTTGTTGTTTCCAGATCGTACTGGGTCAAAGGCTCCAAGTGTTGAGAAAAAATTAGCTAATTATTTAAGTAATGCTTAATAAGGCCAATTTATTTTTTACCCTGGGGGCACATTTTGGTCCCATATCAAACCACCACAGCATACTAACCCCAATATCACAGATACGAGTCAAACGTTGCCCTCCCCATTGTTCCCTCACTGATACTTAATGATCGCTACATATCGCAGCAAATGAAACAGTAAATTAGAAGCCCAATTAACATTTTGGTGGCCCCAGGGGCTCTGAGAGGTCCAGAGGGCAGGCAGGGGGAGGTGGGGCGGGGGGTGGGGGGGCTGAAGGTGGGAGGAGGAAGAGGTTGGGGAAACGCCCCGCTGGCTTACTAATGTGAGGATGAGGAATTGAAGGTGGGGGCCTCGCCTCCGCCCCGCTGCCACGCTCTGAGTACATGTACAGAACCCTGGTGGCCCGACTGCAGACGACTCGACCCTTTTTCGGGTGTGAGCTCACAAAATGGTGTTGACGCAGATGTTGAGACACCTCTAGGCCTGAGACAAATGCAGCTGCCGTCTGGTTAACTGTTGTTTCTCACGGCGAACATTGGCATCTTGTTTTAAAGGTGTGCCTCTGATTTCCAGTGATAAAACCTAAATATTTCACGCTGTGGATGCCAATCTGCGCTTCCCACTCACGTACAACTTGATCTCCGTCACTGCTGCTCCTCAGATGCATGTAAATGAGCAGGGAGTGAATGATCTATCAAATGCCACTCATGTCTTACTCAGACAGAGACAGATAATAGAGGGAGATAATTATAGTAATAGTGGTAAAAATATTCTAATGATATTGCGCCGGGAGTCCGGGGCTGTCAATTAATGATGTCTATTTGACTATTCTCCAGCTATTTATGCAAGCCGTAAAACTTCTTTACTTCAGTGTTAAGGGAATCACTTATATTGTTAACAATGAGGAGTTTTTTTATCTCATTAAAGCCACAGCGGCATCTTAAGCGGTCTAATTGGTACGTAGCCTTTGACTCCTGCCACGCTGCCATGCTTCTGGGGCTATTATTGTTTATTGAATGCGTTCCCATCTACCTGTTAGAATACTGTTTCAATCGGAGGCGATGGCGGCTTTGAGGATGACACACTCGCCGTCAGTGCCAGGGAGGTTCGCCCCCTTGTAAAGTGATTGGGGAGGAAGGGGGAGACATTAATGATGATAACCGGGCCCCCTCGGCAGAATAAGATCCAAATAGCGCCGATGATCCGACCCACCGCCATCCGATCCCACAAAGGGACGCATTTAAATCTCCTCTAACAAAGCGCCTCTCAATTACACCTCTCTCCGATTACCATGCACTCGTTGGGAGGAGGAATATGGAAATGGCAAAAATAAGAGAGAGAGGGAGGGAGAGAGAGACTGAAAGAGGCAGAGAAGGGGTGATGCATCCGCTGAGCGTCAGTGTGGCTGATTCCCGCGGTGAGTGCGTGCATGGGGGAGGAAGTTGAAACAGTGTTGGACTAATTAATACAGTGTATGGTGGGAGGGCTGGTGTGGGCTTTCACTAACTGTGACACCTGCTGACTCCTAAATGCACATTGTGTTGTTTTAATATGACAATTATGCCATTACCATATCTGAGAGATAGCACGCCCCCCCCTAGGAATCCACCCGCGCTCTCTTTTCAACCTTTTAGCTGGGCTTGAATTTTTTTTATCTATTTATGCTCCGACTTTCGAATGAGAAATCAGTTCACTTTTTAGTGTAAAAACTCCCTTTTTGCAGAAGCGCAGCGCGGTAATTGATGAGCATGTGACAGTTTGAGTTCTTCCGTCCGCCTGTTTTTCCAATCGGCAGACAAACAGTCGACAGATGTGGCCGTGATTCGTCTGTGAACCGGTTTAGTTCTGCTGCTGATGCAATCACAGTCTGCAGATTGGAAATACGTGTAAATATTAAGTTATGTGCGTATCTGTGCACGCTCAGTCAACATGAATCTGACTCATTTAGATACTTAAGATGAGTCAGGCTCTTCACACTCTTTACACCTGATGTTGATGTTAAACTGCACGGCCTCATGGTAAGTAAAGGTTCCTCATATGCAGCTCCTTTTAAAAAAATACAGTCTAGATATCAAGCCTGCTGCTTTTCTACCACGTGTCACTTGTACTTGCCTGTTGATTCCGTATTGCAGTCATTGCTCCGCTGACCTGCAATGAACTCGATGCATTCCAAATTATTTGGCGTTCTATTACGGGTGATTTAGTTTGCTGTGGATTACTGCTGCTTTGTTGGGAACGCGGCTCCCCAACCTGCTGTAGTGTTGAGTGCAGTGGAGGGCCCCTCATTGCTCACCAGCGGTTGGTGCTTGTGCATTTGGTATAGGACGAACAGAACCCAGCGAGAGCCCACTCACTTCTTTTTTTTTTTGTCCCGGTGGAGCCGGGCCGGTCTGCGGGCCTGTGATGGAGAGAGGTGTCTCTGCAAAAGTGAAAACAAATTCTCTCCTTGGCTGGCGTGAGCTATGGCACTGTGAAGCTTTATTGTCCTGGCCAAGGTGATAAGGGAGAGTAATTGCGTATTATACTGTCCGAGAATGTCAGGTCCAAACTGAGCACGAGTGCCCCATCCATCAGCACACAACGTTGTGTGTTCATGTGTGTGTATTAAACTGTTAAACCACACTGCACATGCTTGCTTGCATGATGCATTTTGTGTTTGCCCTTTTGTGCTCGTGGTGTGAGAATGGGAAGAGAGGGGGCGGTGGTTCATGTTTGTATATTTGCACCTGTGCCGTATCAGAGATTGTATTATTTTGTCGCAGACTACAGTCTTTTATATGTGTTTGTCTTCACCATTCAGTGCATCAGCAATACGTTTTTGTGTGTGTGTGTGTGTGTGTGTGTGTGTGTGTGTGTGTGTGTGTGTGTGTGTGTGTGTGTGTGTGTGTGAGAGCGGGTTTAGATAGACCCTGGGAGCAGGTCAGGCAGCATCATTAATCAGCAGAGGGTTGTGTGTGCCTCTAAGCTGACATCATTACATCGTGCACCCTGCAGTAGCTCACTGCTTGGGCTGCCCTATCTGACCAGCCTAAAGACCACAGACTCTCTCACACACACACACGTAACATACACCACTATTTCTATACCTTTCATACAGAAGCTTTCATGCAAAAGCTACTTAATGCATGACAGATACCTCTGTTGAGAAGGCCTCTATAGGTCCTTGTGCAGCCTCACAGCAGCCCACACCTCCACCATTACCCACTGAACCCACACAACTGAAGGGGAAGAAGGAAAAATCACAGCACGTGTGTGTAACAAATGTGTTTCGCTGTCTGCCACAACGGCCTCGTTTCTGTGTGTCCGTCCACGACGAACCTTTCCGCATGGAAGTGTCTCTTGTGTTCTCCCTCATGACTCTCAACTTTTCTTTTTTCATCTGTTACAAAAATGGGAACGAGGCCTTTTACCTCTGGTTTGTCTCCCTTAGATCCAACTGTGCCGAGAACATCCGGAAGCACATTCTCCACACCGGCAAACACGAGGGCGTGAAGATGTACAATTGCCCCAAATGCAACCATGCCACCAACTCTCCCATGGAGTTCCGCAACCACCTGAAGGCCAGTCACCCTGACATCGAGAACCCGGACCTCGCCTACCTGCATGCAGGTAACCAAATGCCCAACCTAAGGCTCTGTTCAAATATATATATCATATGTGCAAACTTGGGCTAAATTTGCTGTTTTAAAATTAATATATGTGAATGGTGTAGAACTTTTCATCCTTTCACTCCAAATTCAAGTTACCACCACTACTGAATTATTACCGTAATACCGTACGTTGTTGAGTTTGCAAGTATGATATACGTACACGTATACCTGTGTATGTAATGTCTGGAACGGTAAATGGAACGGCAGGTATCCTTGAGCAAGGCACCAAGCACTGGACTTTAATTGCCCCGTTCAAACGGTACCTGTTCATTTCTACCGGCCCAAGAATCTGAACCACACCACTCTCCATTTCCTTACTTGCCTCTCTAATCGTCTGCATTCCGAATGTGTAACGTCGTACACACGCCACGTGCCCACAGGGCAAATCAGCCATTGAAATCTGCCCACTGAATAGAACCACCTGGCTGCCCCCTGCAGCCCTGCCCATGCTCCCGAGCCCCATCTGAGGTCAGATCCTCCAGAACCCTGGAGTCTGTTCTTGTCGATGGATCGACTCTCGCCTCTCACTGCTGATGGAGGGCACCCAGACACAAAGGGGCAGCACTCAAAGATTACCCGTCCCGTCGTCGCTGCCAATCACTCGGGCCACAGAGACAGATGAAATCGTGTTCCTCCACTATTGGGTCCTTTGTGTCCCAGTGCTCTTCCTTTGTCCTTGAAGGCCACCAAATCCAATCGGCCGAGTGCTTGTCCTCCGGAGGAGCAGAGAGGACAGCCTTTATCCTGTTATCCCTTTGACCTCACACAAAAGCAGTAGGAGTTGGGGAGGAGCACCATGGGGAAGAGGCCACGCAGGGACATTACTGGAAGTACGGTGGTTTATTTCCTGTTCAAACTGAATGGATTGCGAGTTGCGTCTTTGTGCTGACTCTACAAAGTATATTTTTTTATTTATTGTTAATTTCTCGAACCGGCTTATTCTTGGTGTAATTTCTTTCCCCCAAATCCAATGACCAACATCTATCTTTGAACTCCTTTACTTGTCCTAACCTCTGAGCACAACCTTTTTACCTTCACCCACTCTTTAAACCCTCCTTCATATTCTCCATACCCTCTCACCTTTAACCAAAGCAAACCTGTTCTTACCCTTTTACAGAATTTCCCTCACCTCTGTTTGTCCTCATGCTCGGCCGACCTTTGGTAAAGAAGATTCATTTTTCTTTGTTGTGGTCTGTTAAGTTATTTGAGAGGCCTCCTCTTAAAGGTGGCCCTGATCTCACTGGGATTCCTGGTAATCACTGTACATTTGCACAGTTTGAGGCCTTTTCATGTTTCAGTGTCATGAGTGAAGGTCAGAAGGTCACGCCAAACGACCACACAGCCAATGTGTGTTTTTACCCTTATCTATTTCTAAAGACAAATTACTGATTCTTCTTTTCTACTTTCATGCATGCATGACACTTGGCTCCAAATCATACTTAATGGGAGCGCGATACGTAAACATACTATACGTCTGCAGACAATCACCCACGCTTCACCTGATTGAGACCAAAGCAATCGAAAGCACAGTGGGTTGGAAAAGGCATTGAAAGTACACCCGTGATCTCTCCCTCCGTCAAAAGAGGGAAAAGAGAGGTGGGGGTGGTAGCGGAAAGAGCAGAGTTTTCATCTAAGTAGACAGAACGGGACCAAAAGAAAGAGACCGGGGAAAAAAAGATTAAGAAGGTAGATGTTGAATTAACCTGCTTGTGATTGCTCTCTGTCAGAGTGGCACCGGGGCCAGCAGCGAGAGGCAAATCATCTGTGATGGCCCTTCCCGCTGTTCCCCCTTTGAAAGACACAGATCAAACGCACCCTCGTCACAGGCCCTCGCGGCCCCTCGCCCCGGATTGATTGACACCCGAACGTCTCCGCCGCCGCTCTCTCTTGCTCTCCCTCTCCCTTCCCTTCTTTATTCAGCGTCGCTCTTCAAATTAAAGCCCTTCTCAAGGATGAAAGCAGAGGTCCTTTGCAAACGAAGGAAGAGAGGGAATTAGACCCAGCAAGCGATGGAGGAGAATGATGATTAGAATTAGAAGGGGGTTAGAAAAAAAAAAAAGGAGAAAAGGGAGAGGTTAGATGTGTGAGGGGAAATGTTGCTGATAGGACACATTTTAATAAAACGGTAATGGCAATTGTCTTCCCCGTGCGATCCTCAGAGCGATACGGCAGAAAGGGGTGGCGGCGCCCGTGTGATCGCGGCACCGATAGCGGGCCTGGTGCCACAGGTACCTCGGAGCGCCGCGACTTTGCTAAATTACCCGGCTGCTAGAACTTTCCCTCTAGTTAAAACGCCGCGTGTGAGCTTTCACTAGAGCAGCTTTGGCACATTTCCTTCTTTTTCAGCTGCCTCCCTCCAGAGAAGGTCAGCTGTGGATGCGGGGCGACGGCGTTGTTAAATTGAGCCCCCTCGTACGGTTCAGGTTCTAAAACCATGACACACACACACACACACACAGGTGAGCTACCATTAGCTTTGTCAAGGCATCATCATCCCTCTGTTTTAAATTGGGATATATTTCCCTTATTATATTTTCAACCAATGTTATAATTGCACACCCCCCAGGCATAGCGATCAAATGCTGTGTAATTAGCTCACAACGAGCGAGTGCTTGAATGTGCTGCTTAGCGCCCCAAAAGATAAAACAAATAAATAATCTTCTTCAAGGCATTGTTGCTGCTTTATGCAGATTCTATTTTCCTTAATAATGCATGATGGATGGCCACCGTGGAGGGCTGGAGGAGGCCTGGCCTTGTAAGTGATGATCTTAATACACAGTTACAACCACAGGCAAATTCATTTGTTTGCATATATTTTGTCCTTATTAAACAAATATGGTTTTGGATGGCTTTTACTTAAGTTATGCATCTTGTGTGCCTCCCCGGCTCCCCTCCCCTCGCCGCTTTCACCTTCTGTTCGTCATGTAATGAAACATTACTCTCCCGAGTTTTACTCGCGTACTGTGTTACAGCGGTGTGTTGGATGGTGGATGGCGGAGGACAGGTGTGTATGTCATGCAAATGTGTCCCGGCATCCCGGCGCATATGACACCGTGTCGACGTTGTGAAAGACGCCGGAGACGCCGACGATAAGATCAACATCTGTTTCTAATAACAATGTGTTATATGTGACACGTTTCTGTGTCGAAAAAATATGTGAGGAAAAAAAAAAAGAAGAAGAAGAAACAATGCATCGCAATTGAAAAAACACCTACAGGACATCAAGTCGTCAGTGCTCGTGATGAACCTGCGTCTTTGTGTCACCGTCCTTATGTTGCGCACACTTGATGGGCATTAATGAAAAAAGTCCTTCTGCTCCGCGCGATGCAAAGTCAGATTAACCGGTTGGCTCGTTGTGCCGACGCTGTCACTCCCCAGATTCAGTTCCTTTGAGTTCCATCCTACAAAGTCAACGCCGAGGCCTTTGTTGCCTTAACAGGAAGCCAAAGCAAATTGAAAAATACTTAAATGAGCCCAACTTTATATTATAGCTGTGGCCTGAAACTCAAGGTCTCTTTGGTTCTCACTACAACTCCCCCCCTCCATTAAAGGACAGCAGAATAACACGCTCAGCCTGTGTTTGTTATTCTGTCCGTCGCATCTTTTTTTTCCCGACCGCGCGAAGCGACCTCGGCAAGCCTGCATGTAGAAACCTGTTGTGGGGCACTCAGGCCTGTATTCAGGTGTTAATTGGAGTATTCCCTCATGGAGGAACACCTTTCAGTTTTATCTGGCTGAGTGGCTCACGGCGAGGACCGAAGTGAATCGGTATCCCCCCTTCTGCCTTTTTCCATCCACACACTGCACACACAGTCTTGCTTCAGGTATTACAGGAGAGGAGCAGCTGCTCGCGGTGTCTCAGGAGACCTGAAACAAGGGGGCGAGAGGTAGCTGAGCGTTTTAGGGGAAAATGCACACCGGCGGTTGCAGGCATCTTAGTAAAGCAACCCGGTGCCAGTTAGGGGCGAGCAAGCAGCAAATCCCGCATAATGACCTGCTCCAATGAGCGTGAAAACTCCCCCAAACCGGCAGCATTTATCACCCATCAGCAACAACAAACGGCCCTTTGTTTGGTCTTCGTCCTCCACTCCACTCCTTTCTCCTCCTGGCTCCAATCCGAGAGGCTCCGAGAGGCCGTTTATCCGCCGTTCAGAGCCTTGACTGACAGGTCGCATCCAATCAGTGCGCAGGCGGAGGGCCAGTAGGTTTCTGGGTGTGGAGGGATGTTTGCATTGTGTTCCCGTCACCTTTAGGCCATTGTGGTGTTGGGCGGGGGGCCTGGATGATGGACGATGCCTGGAAGTGTAGCGTCATTAACGGACTGGGTCAACCTCCGCCTCTAGTTCTGTCACTCAGGAAATCTGAAGCCGATTGATGACTCTTGATTCATGCTCACTTGTGATGACGTGGAGACGGTACAGCGCTGCGTGGCGCTTGCTTGTGTTTGCGCTGTTCTCGTACTCTGCAGATGGTGGCACAGCGCGGTAGCACGGGGAAAGGATCAAATTGTTCAGTTTGGGTAGGCTAATGCTACACTGTCATTTGGATGTTCAAGGACACAAGAAGGACAGCAGTAAATAGTCCTTTCACCGCGCTTAGAGATGAAATTACAAAGTCGTATTTTTCTGAACTGGTTTTATGCAGCTAATTAGCAAACATTTTCCATTGAGGCTTCGGCTCAAACACTGGAACTCCTTTTTCCTAGAAAGGCAGTTTTTTCTTTGGATGCACCGCACTAATTCCCGAGAGGGAACAGGGCCACCATCTAAATAGACTACCACTCTTAAGGGAACGCTCCTAATGTGTCACTGCGCTTCAAATGCTCCTCGTCTTTCTTTTTAATCAAAAGATGAAAAGGAGGGGGGGGACGTTGGCTATAGGTTTGCAGGAGCGATTGGCGGGACCGCCGCAGCGGGCTTCCGTGTGTGTATATACGGTGCTCCGTCAGGGACAAGCGCC